TGATAAAGAGGTGGTTTTCGGAAATGTGTACTACAAGTGCACGAAAAGTACCAAATAGTACTATATTTGATACAATTTGTTACTGGTTGAAAAGATATTGCTCCAAATCTGAAAGTTGACATATATGATGGCTTCGAAAATGTGTACTATAATTGTACAAAAAATACTAAACGGTACTATATTTGGTATTGGGCGAGGGGATAGAGATAAAATTCTGAAATGTAATATTCAGATTACTGATGGTATCTGTGTTTTTAGATTTGGCGGTGGTTTCCAAATGTGTCAAATATTTGTACAAAAAGTGCTAAATGGTGCCCAATGTTGGTATTGGGTGAATTCTCAAATTTGATATTGAGGTCTCTGTTGACATCTAGAATTGAGATACGGAGTTTTGAAAATGTGTGCTATAATTGTACTAAAAGTACTAAATGGTAAAAAAATTGGTATTGGAAAAAAGAAATAGACTGGAATCCTGAAATTTTATATTGAGGTCTCTTTTGGTATCTGGGATTGGATTGGAATTGGTTTTGGAAATATGTACTAAAATTGTACATAAAGTATTACATAGTACTAAATTTTGTATTGGGTGAAGTAATAGAGCTGAAATCTAATACAGATGTCACTATTGGTGTCTGTCGTCAAGAGAAGGAGATGGATTTGGATATGAGTACCATAATCGTACTAAATGGTACTAAATTTGGTAATGGGGGAAAGTATAGAGCTAAAGTCCGTACCTTTGATATTAATAATATTAGTTGGTTCTTAGGGTTTACATATGGAGACGTTGAAATAAATTGGACAGAAAAAATGGATGTGGATATGGGTGCAATGGTTTTTCTAATATCCTTCTCGGTAAAGTTCAAAATGAAGTATTTTAAAAACCTTGAAATTCTGAAATTTAGTACGATTTGCCAAATTAAATTTCGTCAAACTGTACAAATTCTGCACTTCAAAGGTCTAAGACAAACTATTGGAAAGCATCGAAAATGTTATTGTGGACTTTTCGCTGACGAAATAGCGGCCACTTGCTAGTTTTCTATAATCATTTTGACGAGAAAGAGTGCACCGATATAACCCATCTCCGAAGTCAATTTAGGTATGATAATAATATTACTATGTACCAATTTTGGATGTAATCGGATAATCCCTTTGAGTGTTACCATGCGTAACAGCTAGCCAGACGGATGGACACCCCTAGATCGACCTCAAATGTGCTGAAACGGTTATGATTTAAAAAACCTAGGGCTCAAAACCATTATTCCGATTAGGCACATTTTGGCCGTATCACATAAACCATAAGAAACACATTTTTTCTAGGACTGCAGGTTCAGCCGTGAATTTTTGAAAAAAAGATCAAAAACTTAAATTTGGAATTTTTAAAGATTTTTCGCCCAAGATTTTGCTGAAATCCTGGATTTATAAGAATTTGTTTTTGAAGGTCCAACAATACTCATATCGTGAATTTTTTATTATGGATTCTTTAACATTGTTTTATTTATTTATTTACTCATTTTTTGGGCTTGTATTAACGTTTTTTATATAATTAATATATTTTTAATATATTTTTTTAATTTTTTTTTTTTTTGAGGGCCCAAAAAAAGTTTCAATTCGGAATAATTTAGATTTGTAGAAGTTGCAAATCAATAACGGGCATTACAAAATTGGTTAAGTTAACAATACAATACATACAATTAAAAATACGGAACAGAGTATCAGATGTAAGACTATCTTTAAGAAGACCCATCATGTATCAATATTTTAACCTTCATTCAAATTTATTCCAAAATAACACAAATCACTCATATCCAACTCGCATGCCTATGTTTGTACGAGTATATGTATCAAACAGTTGATGGTTTTTTTTTTCAAACACAATCTAAATAGTGACGGTGTGACAGACAATATTCCAAGACACTTCGAAAACGATTAGATTGTGCGGCGGCGATAATGAAGTGTTAGATTTCACAGACAAGTTTTTCTTTGGCACTTTTTTGTGTTGAGTTTTTTTTTTTTTTTTTTTTTTGACTTGTCTTGTATTTTAATTTTAAATCTGGCTTTGAAGCAATTTAAAATTGGTTACTGGCTGTTGTTGGTTTTGTTGTTGTATTTGTTGTTACTATACCGTGGTACAATAAACAAAATACTATGGAAAAACTTCAAGAAAACAAAATAAAAATTGCATTGGTATCGGTAAGATAGACTTGGATGTACCCTATGAAGAGAAAATTCAAGTTATGGAGGTCTAATAAGGAAAACATGTAAGTTTTCCAAAAAAAAATAAAATAAATAAATAAAAAAATATTTGAGTCTTAAATTTTTTATGGTAATTGTCGCGTATTTTTTACTTAGTTTTTTTTTTTTTTAAGGGTTATCAAGAAAAAGTTATTTTTTATTAAATATTTTTTGAAAGAATATTAATTTTTAAGAAGAGTTTTAAGGAGTACCAGACCCTTTGAAGTTTCCTCAAAAGGCATTTTTGAAGACGTTTTCTCTACGAGACTCATGACCCTAGATTTTAGGGAAATATTAAAAAAAAACTTTCTGAAAAACTACCCTGGAGATTATCGTGTATTTTTAAGCACACATCTTAAAGGACAATAGTTGTAATTTTCGAGAATTCTTACAGAGATTTTTCGAAGAACTTTTTAAGTTTATATGGAGTATTTTCAAAAACGTGGATTATTCAAAAACACTTTTTGAAGGTCTCCCAAACCTAGAACTGGAAATGTTTCTAAATATTTTTAAAGGACCTGAAATTGTGGACCTTTCTTGGATGTTTTTAAAACAATATTAGAGAGAGGTAAAATGTATTTAAATAATCGAGGGCTAGCATGTATTAAATCATGAAACTTAGAAAACAGTTCGAAAATTAAAAACAAAATAATTTTTAAAAATCTACACTTGTCCTAGGAAAAGCATAATTTTTAAAACTTCATGTTTGGTGGTCCCACAGAAAATATAATTTTTACAAATTCACGTTTGGTGATCTTCGGAAAAAAATTGAAATGAAATCCACGTTTGGTGGCCCCACAAAAAATAATTTTTAAAAATCCTCGTTTGTTGATCGTCGGAAAAAAGTATTTTTAAAAATAAACGCTTGTTAATCCTTGGAAAAAAATTTATTAAAAATCCACTATTTTTGATTCGCGTTTAGGGGTCGCACAAAAAAAAATATTTTTAAAAGTTCACGTTTGGTGTCACTCGGATTTTTTTCAAATCCACGCTTATTGATCTGTGGAAAAAAATAATTTTAAAAAGAAGAAGTTCCCAGGAAAAAATAATTTAAAAAACCCATGTTTGGTTGTCCCAGAAATAAATAATTTAAAAAACCCATGTTTGGTTGTCCCAGAAATAAATAATTTAAAAAACCCATGTTTGGTTGTCCCACGTTTGTTGATCCTTGGAGAAAATATTTTTAAAAATCCACGTTTGTTGATCCTTGGAGAAAATATTTTTAAAAATCCACGTTTGTTGATCCTTGGAGAAAATATTTTTAAAAATCCACGTTTGTTGATCCTTTGAGAAAATATTTTTAAAAATCCACGTTTGTTGATCCTTGGAGAAAATATTTTTAAAAATCCACGTTTGTTGATCCTTGGAGAAAATATTTTTAAAAATCCACGTTTGTTGATCCATGGAGGAAATAACTTTTTTAAAACCACGTTTGGTGGTCCTGGGAAAAATAACTTTTTAAATCCACTTTTGGGAAAAATAATATTTTTTTAAATAATCTACGTATGTGGTTTCTAGGAAAAAAATATTTTTAAAAATCCACGTTTATGGCTTCTAGGAAAAAATATTTTTTAAAATCCACGTTTATGGCTTCTTGGAAAAAATATTTTTAAAAATCCACGTTTGTGGCTTCTAGGAAAAAAATATTTTTAAAAATCCACGTTTTGTGTTCACAGAATTTTTTTTTTTTTTAATTCACGTTTTGTGTTCCCGGAAAAAAGTGTTTTTTTTTTTAAATCCACGTTTTGTGTTCCCAGAAAAAATGTTTTTTTTTAAATCCACGTTTTGTGTTTCCCGAAAAATATGTTTTTTTTTTAAATCTACGTTTGGTGGTCCTCAAAAATTAAAGTTTAAAAATCCAAAGACCACTAAGGTCCTATGAAAAATTTATTTCCAATAAGTAAAAAAGTATTAAGTTTGGCCGGGCCAATCATTGAATGCCCTCCAACATTTGAAACGAATTAGGAAATTTTCAAAAAAATAAAATCTATTAAAAAATGCTATTAAAATCTTAAAAATACCGAATATCGGAAGGTGCCGATATATGGTTAATATAACATATTGTGGACCTATATAGACAATTCTATTTCAGGGGGTAAAGTACTCACAAGGAACTCCTTGTGTGGAATTTCAGACAATTCCATTAAAAAATGTGGCTAAAATCATTAAAATAACGAATACCGGGTGGTACTGTTATATGGGATCTATACGATATCGTGGACCTATATAAACAAAATTCCTTTATGGGGTAAAGTACTTACGAGGAACTCCATGTGTGGAATTTCAGACAATTCCATTGAAAATTGTGGCTAAAATCATCAAAATACCGAATATCGGGTGGTACTGTTATATGGGAGCTATACGATATCGTGGACCTATATTAGCAATTCTCCGCAAGGGGGTAAAGTACTCACAAGGAACAAATGTAATAACCACTTAAGGATATTTTAAAACATATTTTGATTGGTTGAGGATAAGAGTTGTTTGGATATTTTCAATTGGAATCTCAGAACTATACTACGCAAACTTCAGCATCACAGGTCCTTTTATATCGGATGCTCGTCTTACATTTTAAGCCACTGTTACAAACTGAACACCAAATTGAGTACTCCATCCAAACCCCCTTTTTGACTTACAACCACTGCAGCTACCACTCTATGTCGTTTTGCGCATTGCGATTAAAATGTTGTTGAGATAGTTTTTTTTTTTTTTTTGGTTTTTCGATTTTGTTGTTTTTATTATTTTTTGTGATTTTCTTTAGCACTTACCAGATAAGGTGTCAGCAGCCTTCGCCGATGAGGTGTTGACAAAGCAGACAAACAACAACAGCATCAAAGTCAACAACATGTGCCGTCGACTGATGTTAGTCGTGGTGGCGGTGGTGGTGTTGCTGTGGCTGTTGGATGTTGCAATGCTCAAATCTCGCACGAAACGAGCTACCATTGCTGCTATTGCCTTGATGAGGGCTACTGAGGATGATACCGTTGCAGGTTGGGGTGAAGCTAAAGATGTCGTCGATGTCCATGCCGAGGATATTATTGATGACAAGCACAACGATGTCCATGTGGAGAAAGATGATGCGGAGGCTGTTGCTGCTGCCACTGCTGTAATGGTCTTGGAATTCTTTCTCCGGCTTTGTAAGACGTCATCTGATATTCTCTGGGATGGTGGTGATGATGAGGATGATGGCAAAAAATGTTTGTTAATACTTTTCTTGGATTCGCTAGCGATTAAATGAGATTTGTGCTGATGGCCGCAATGCTGTCTATGAAATTTTATTTCTACTTCTTTTTCTATAACTTCTTTGTCAGTTTCCAGAGCAATTGATGGCATTGTTGCTATTGTGGTTGTTGTTCCTCTTGTTGTGGTTGTTGTAGTTTTTCTTATTGCCGAACATGTTGCTGTTGCGTTGCAGGTTTCTTCTAATGCTGTCAATGTCAAAGGATTTGCCACACTTGGGAATTCTCCTTGTTCGGCATGGGCTTTGTTCCGCCGTCGTTTTAGATTTCTATAATTTTCCAAGCTAAACATTTTTACGTACGTTCAGTTCGTTGGATCGATGGATTTTCCTGGGTTTTTCTGCTATTGTTCTTTACGCTGCCACAATTCAATTGCAATTGACCGCCAGTGCGAAATTACCTGCCGTAATCAGCCAGCCAACCAGCCGAGCCGGCACTTGTTTCGTCGCCTCCTTGTGGTTGGGTTTTACCTGTAAAATTTTGAAATAAAACACAATTTTTTTGGTTAACAGAATTCTGTGTTTGGTTTCTTGGGAAATTTTTGGAAAATAAGAAAGAACGATTTTATTATTAACAGCAGCAGCAGTAGTAGTGGTAGTTTTGTTGTTGTTATTATCTTTCTCTCGAATACCGTACGGTAATAGGCTCCAGGTAACGCTGGCGGCATGCCTGCAACGCCCACCTACGCACCTGTTTTTCGAGAGAAATAAATTTTGTTACATTTTAGTTTGTTTACTACGGGAACACAAACCATATTTTATTGCTTCTACGATTTTACAAAAATTCACAGAATGAAAAATTTGTTGGAGGAAAATATCAAAGAACAGGAAAAACGGCCTTGACCTTTATTTTTGTGAAACTTTTCCGATAATCTTACAATTGGCGATTGTGCAATATTTGCAAGATTTTTGTTTATTGTTTTCATAAAGATTTGATATTGCGCCTCTTGGAAAATAAGAAAAGTGGGCGTGGGTTGAAAAACTAAGAGCAATACAATCCAGGAGACTTGTCAACAGCAAGGTCGGAAATTCAATGGGGAAAAATTGAAAGCCACCCACGGGACAAAAGAAGAAAATATTTACAGAAATAGTGGGAATTGAATGAAGGTTGGTAAAGATCATACAGGCTGATAAACTATACTACGGTATTATGATTGGCCAAGTCTAAAAATATAAGAAAATTTTTTTTTTAGTGGCTAAAAAATTTAAATTGAAATCTATATTCTTCCAGCCATGTAGTTTTTCTTAACGATAACTTAATCCACTTAAATATTTTTTGAAGCATTAAAACCAAATGTCTTTTTTAAATATTTTTTGCAAATAGCAAAAAATATGATTTTGTTACAAAATATGTATTTTCCACCACCAATACAAGAGGAGAAAAATGTACTAATAAGTTCAAAAAGCACTATTTGGTATATGAAGAAAGGATGAAGGCGGAAGCCTGAAATTTGATAACCAATACAGAGGGAGAAATATTTACCAAAAAGTTCAAAATGCACTAAATTGTACCAAAATTGGAAAATAAGAAGAGGGGATAGAGCCGGAAGCCTGAAATTTGGTTAGGGTCACTTTTTGCGAGGTGGGGGCGATTTTGAAAAACGTCCAAAAAAGTACTAAATTGTATTAGACATGGTATATAGGGAAGGGATAAAGCTGGATATCGGAAATTTGGATTGAGGATCTTTGATGTTGTGTAGGATGGGAACGAATTTGGAAATAAAATCCTTAAAAAATTCTGTTAAAATTTTAAAAACACTGAATATAGCCGTCATTTTGGGTTCCATACGACGTGGACCTACATGGGCATTGTTTGTCATAAGTCATTACCATATTCAAATTCGAAACTTAAAATAAACGGTAAATAACGTAGCTAAAATAATAAATCAAAATATCGTATATAGGGAGGTAGCGTTATATCGGAGCTGTGCGAAGACCTGAACCAGCATAAACAATTTTCTGCCATAGGCTGTACCATTCATTACGAAATTAAAATTCGGGTCTCAAACAATTTCGGTGGGTATTGTACTTAAACTCGTCAAACTACCGAATATAGGGTTGTACTGGTATGTGGGGTCTATACGAAGACCTGGACCTGCATAGACAATTTTCTGTAACATACTGTAGATCCCATTACGAGCTCTAAATACGTAATTTGAAAGAATTCCGGAGAATAATGACATTAAAATCATCAAAATACCGAATACAGGGAGGTACCGTTATATGGTGGCTATACGAAGACGTGGACCTGCACAGACAATTTTCTGTCTTAGGCTGTAGTATCCATTACGAACTTCATATACCAAATTTTAAACAATTCCGGTGAATAATGTCGCTCAAATCATCAAAATACCGAATATCGGGAGGTACCGTTATCTGAGGGCTATACGAAGACGTGGACCTACATGGCCCATTTACGAATTTAACGTGCCTACTGGAAAAATAAATATGTGTGCAAAATGTTAGCCTTCTATCTCTATTCGTTCGCAAGATAGCGTGATTACAACAGACAGACAGACGGACATGTCTAAATCGACGTAGAATTTTACGTTGATCAAGAATATATATACTTTGTATTTCGAGGAGTTACAAACGGAATCACAAAGTTAATATACCCTCCATAGTATGGTGGAGGGTATAAAAAAATACGTGTAGTCAGTGTTCTAAAAAATCTTCAAAAATTTTCTAAAATCATTCTTCTAAAGTCGTTTAAAAATGACTACCAACATCGTCTGAAACCAATTCTTCCTAGTCATCTATTAAAACACCTCTGAAAGCCTTATACAAAGTTAACGTTCAAGTTATCTTTAAACATTTCTCTCAATTCTATAAATGATTTTTCGGAGAATAGTTTTTCAAGAGTCGCCGAGACATAAATCCTTAAAAGAATATTTTTTCTTCAAGGGCCTCCTAGATGTGAATTTCCAAAGAATATTTTTTCAATGGTTGTCTGAGGAATATTTTTTAGGGCCGCTTAGATATGTGGCACATGGAGGCCTTTTGAATAATATTTTCCGCCGACATCTGTATGAGGAGTATTTAGGCAATATTTTCGTAGGCTCACTAGGACGTTAATTTTTCAAAGATTTTTTGCTGGGGTCCTCTGAAAGTGGATTTTTAAAAAAAAAGCTTCTTCAGTGCCATCTAGACTTCGATTTTCTTAACATAATTTTTAAGGGTCACCTAGGTCACGTGGATTTATAAGTAATATTTCTTTCAGGGGCTATCCGGCTGGATAAAAAAAGAATCCAGAGCACCCTGGAAGTGGATATTTTTATTTTAAAATGCTTCTTCAGTGCCATCTAGACTTCGATTTTCGTAACATAATTTTTTAGGTTATGTGGATTTATAAGTAATATTTCTTTCAAGGGCTATCCGGCTGGATTGAAAAAATCCAGAGCGCCCTGGAAGTGAATATTTTTAAGATTTTTTTCCAGTACCATTTAAATTTAAATTTTTTAAATACATTTTCATGGGTCACCTACATGTGAATTTTTAAAGATTATTTTTTATGGGACTACCTAGCTGTAGATTAAAAATAATATTTCTAAGGTTTATTTAGACGTTGATTTTTTACTGGATAGTTTTTTAATGGATCTTTAAAAACATTTATTCTTGTGCCAGAAAAATCAATAAAAGACTTTTCACGGTCACCTAGACGTAAAACACATAAGAAGGACTGTTTAAACGTGACCTGAAAATATTTTTTTTTATCAAAAGGCCACTTGGACATAGTATTTTAAAAAATATTTTATGTAATAATTAGAAATATTTTTTTTTAATTTCCTCCTAGATGTGTATTAAGAAATATATATATTTTCCGGGGCCACCAATACGTGGATTATTTATATATTTTTCTAGTAGGAAAATCAATTAGTGATTTTTAGAAAGGACATTTATTTAAAGTTCACATAGACCTTGTGAATTTTTTAAGAATAATTTTTAAGAGCCACCCAAATTTGGGTTTTTCCTAATATTTTGTCAGGAGTCATTTATGGGTGGATTTGTTTAAAAATAAATATTTTTCAAGAGCCACCTAGACGTCGATTTGTTCATGATCCACCTAAACTTGTTTTTTTCATAATCTTTTTCAAGAGCCACGTAGAGGTCGGTTTGTGCGAAAGAAATAATTTTTCAGAATCAGCCTAGACGTGGGTTTGTTTCATACATTATTTTAAAGAGCCACCTACATTATGTTTGGTTTTATAAAATAGATCGTCAAGAGCCACCTAGATTTTGTTTTTTATATTTTCAAATACTTTAAAGAGTCATAAAAAAGAATTTGAATTTTTAATGATTATTTCAGGCTCTGCTCAAGTTCTCCTACATAAGAAATGTTCTCGAAAGACTTGGCTCAGTTCGCCTATAACCTCACCAATAGAGAAGAATACCTGCTTAAACTTACCAGTACTGAATGAAATTTTCCAAAAAACATTTGTTTGGCCCAAGGACGAACCCTATTGAAATTGGAGATAGTCGGTAAATATTTAGATATAGCTCCCATATAAATCTTCGTCCGATTTGCCTTTTATTGTGCACCAAACGTGTAATATCATCCCGAATAGTATGGAATTTTGCACATACAACCAAATTAGGCTGAAAATAAGTATGCCAAATTTGATCGAAATCGGTTCAGATGTAGCTATAGCTCCCATATATATTCTTCATCCGATTTATTATTTTTGTCCTCCGCAACCGTAATATGCACTCTGTAACAACAATATTTGGGGAAATATATCAAATGCAGCTCAGAAATATCTTTGCTAAATTTTATCGAGATCGGTTCAGATTTGGATATAGCTCCCATATATATATATCTTTATCTCCCATATATATCTTTATCAATACAAGTCCGAATTTAAAAGATACAAATGCTTCGGCATATTTAGTCCTTTGAATTTTAAATTAGGGTGTATGATTGAATTCTCCCATAAAAACTTTTAATTTTTATGTGGAGCTCTACTAAATTAGCAAAGTGGTGTAGGGTATCAAAAAGTCGGCCCGCCCGACTTTAGGACTTTCTTTACTGGTTTCATTATTTCTTTTTTTCAAGGGCCATGTAGAGGTCGAATCAGCCTGACGTGGGTTTGTTTCATACAATATTTTAAAGAGCCACCTACATTATGTTTGGTTTTATAAAATAGTTCGTCAAGAGCCACCTAGATTTTATTTTTATATTTTCAAATACTTTAAAGAGTCATAAAAAATAAAATGAATTTTTTATGATTATTTCAGGCTCTGCTCAAGTTCTCCTACATAAGAAATGTTCACCTATAACCTCATCAATAGAGAAGAATACCTGCTTAAACTTACCAGTAGTGAATAATTTCTGCTTCACTCGACTGTAGCTAGGTTAACACTACAAATTGAAATCGAAGGAGCAGGTATTACTAAAATTAATCACATATCAAACCTTCTACCCAGTTAGGGTTTAAAAAAAGTTTGCATATGTCATATTCATGTTTCCCACC